GGCCGTCCTCGTCGCTCTGGTCTTCGCAGTGGCCTTCACCGAGGAAGCCATCGCGTCGGAGGAGAAGCTCTGGGACCGAGAGGTGGCAGAGCCACCATGGCGTGGCGCGTAAGTGCGTTTGCTTCAATGTGTTCAAGCCGAACGCCAACAAGAGGGATATGACGTACTGGACGGCGTACTCGGACGCCACCAGGGGGTCCTCGCCGGGAGTCTCCTGCCCGCGGCCCCAACGAGGGTCCCGGAAGATGTTGATGTTGGGCCTGGATGGAGGTGCAGAAGAGGGAGGCGCGGATCTACGAGCTGGGCTCGCTGCCGCCGTTCCTGCTGGTGTTCGCCAGCGAGGTCAAGGGGATGGAACACCGGTGGAACCAGCACAGCCTCGGGGAAACAACGTCGAGGGTCTGTCCCGAGACCTCCACCATCATAATATACAGTAAAAAATTCAAGGATAATAATTACGGAGCAGATAATCCACTGTAATAATAATGAATATATAAATCATAATTTTTAATTTTAATTTAATATATATTTTATATTTAAAAAAATACTTCGCAATTTGGATATAACTTTAAATTCTTAATATGATTATTATATATATTAAGCTATTTCGTTCACAATTGGCCCAGAAGCCCGTTTCGGAAGCCCACACCGAGAAGCCCCGGATCTCCTGCCGTGGAGTTCGAGATCGACTCCTCACTGTAAACCCTCGCCCACCTCCACGTCCCACCGGTGCCGGACTCCACTAACTTCCGTGCCACGTACTTCTGGCTACAAAAGGGTGATCGTGGTGGTTATGTCCTCTGTTCTATCGGCTGTGCGACCTCGCGGCGCTCTCTGACGCGTTCCCGCTCGATCCAACCGGTTCCTTTGTGGATGCAAGTGAGATGCTTGTTTCTAGTTCTTTTCTGTGTTGATTTTATGGTATTTTACGCAAGATTGCATTTGAAATGGATTTTTTTTTTGATGTTCGATTATCTTGGAGATGCTTGAAGTTCTGTTTCTTTGTATGAATCGGAGGAGTTGGGCATGGGATTAGCGTGTAATTGGATTTTTGGTAATTTTTGTCTTTGCCTTGATGTTGCATTGTTTTTGTATCAGGTGTGGTATAGGTAGTCTATCGTTACATTTCAGCCTCTAACTCAAAATGATATTATGAAACTGGAGAGATTAGAATTTGGCCAATGATCAGCTATATGAGACGTTTGGTCGAATAAGTTCAAGGCCTAAGTCTTCATTTCGGAAAGGGGATTTTTTTAGGATAACTTTTTCTTTAACTTATTCTTGTGATCTCTTTTGTGAACCGATTAAGAAGGACACCAATTATCCCTTCTGACAGTGTATCAAAATGCAGACTAATGGAGTATGAACTGTTGAATCCCCAAAATTTAGGAATAAAATAGCAATATGAAGTTATATTGTTCTCTTGTTTACATTTTATTTAAGATATGTAAGATCTCTTTTTTCCCTGTGCTTCATCATTGTTTTTGTTAATAAACTTGTTTAGTGTCTGATGCATACTGTATTGTATGTTCTCTGTCCTTGAAATTTGTTGCTTGAAAGTTAAGGACTCTAAGAAGCAAATTCTGACTATTCAAATGAACTTTATTCCCAGGTAAGTTTTCATTTCTATCATCTGATGTAAACCGTGCTAGTTTAGAATGAGTTTGCATGTTGAAGAAATTCATTGCTCATAGGTCATTAAAACTTTGTTTGAATTCTATTAGAAAGTTTAGTTTGTCGTGACTTTAAAAAATAATTATGAACATGATCTTCTAATTGTGATATATTTAAATGTGAAAAAAGTTCTAGAGGAAATGTTAGAATCAAATGGCATGTCTAGATGATGGATCCTACTGTCTTACTTCTTAAGATTTTTCTGGGCATTTGTAAAGAAATCTTTAGGAAATAAAAATTTTACGTAAGACAAAAAATCCTAATGCCCCATTTTGAAATTTAGTCGTATCATACTGGTCTTAGTAGCATGAAAGGGTGTTTGTTCCAAAAGTATTATACTGATTAATATTTGCTATATGATGAAGTAACATAATTTTTTATGTAATAACACTAGGGAGAACATGTAAAATAATACATGACCCAACATATATATGCATGTGGACCTCATATGTTACTGCATCTTTTAGTATATGGTTGTCCATGTGACCATATTTACATGTCTATGTAGACCACACAAGCAGTCACCTTGACATTCCCAGCCACATATGCAATCGGACTGCAAACTGAGGCCACCTAGGCCCTATGATATCTGATCACAAGGCTCATTATGCATATGTGGTTACCTTAGAGACATTTTAGCACAACGTTTTGTCGTGTCATTGATCGTGCTGGTTTATGTCTTTGTTCTTTGGTAACATCAACTGATAAAACCAAAACCTTTTTAGCTTAATTGAGTTTAAGATGGGGAAGCTGGGTGAGTCTTACAATCAGCAAGTTGTGTTTAAGTGAAATTTGGCTTGCTAAATTTTCAGCCAGACATGAGCTTGCTCAAGCACACATTCCTTATATTTTCTCTCTGTGGACTATTCTTGCTGCGGCCTTTCTGGAAGACCTAATCATTGTGCGTATATATTCATCCAAGTGTATGCAGCTTGCTGATGCTGATGTTGCAGTCTTTTGGGTGTTTGAAATATAGATATGTTATGTTGGCATTTAGGCATTTTTCTTCATCTCTTCCTACTTAGCTTTAACTATTGGTGAAGTTGACAGCTCCTAGTTAAGGGTGGCTAGTTTCTTATAAGCCACTTCAAAGTGAGTGAATGACTTAATTAGTATTTAATCTTCTCCTCTCTTTTTATTCACTTAAGGTCAAAAAGATCTTCAAAGAGAAAAGAATACCACAAATGCATGACTCTTCACCATTTTTATAGATTGGCCTGAACTTGGGCAAGTTGTGTCATGCCCATCTATGCTTGGCATTTTAGCAAGTCTTGCACAAGATAGCGTAGAGAAAACTGTCACATATTGCATTTGATCTTATTGTGTTGTTTTAAACCTTGATTATACAGCCATGTCTGGCTCATCTACTGTATCAGAGGCAATAGAACAACATAAGCCATGTGAAGTGCTTTAAAAAGATTATGATGTATATTTACCTAAAATTGTGGCCGGTGATTTATCACAGAAGACTTTCACATCTGTCTTCTCTGGGTTTATCGCGTGGAACACTTTGGCCGATTGAAAATATGAAGAAAACAGCTTATCCATAAGGTTCTCAACGTCTAAGCCTTAGTTTCCATTCTATGTAATTGTGTGTCACTGATAAACATGTTCCTTTGAATTAAGGATAAAATGGCTGAGAAGTTTAAAGTAGACATCACATGAAATTTTATGCATACAGCATCCAGACATGGACGTCAAAGTTCCTTCATATCCTATAAAAAACACTTCCAATGCATTTTTGCCCCTTTAGGCCAATTGACTAGGATATCAAAATGTTGTGGTTTTGCTTCTCTCTTGGACCAGGTAACTTAAGAAAAAATTGCTTGTCCTTATTGGGAAATTGTTTTTCGATAAATATACCAATCTTAGACTTTGATTACCATTTTAGATCCTTGTATATATTGTGTGCATTTTAAATTTTTCGTTCATTTGTTAATTTATGGTTTACATGTCTGACGTTAAATTTGCGGAAAGATTATATCTTGAGCAGATTGCTGAATTTTGCTGCCTTAGTTTCACATTTACCATGAATTATCATAGAAGTAAAATATAATGGAAAAGAAAGTATCGGTTGCTTTGTAGAAATCTCAACGCAATACGTAACACAGTGTGCTTCTTGTCATCCACAGAAAGTCTTGTAATGCATTGTGGTGCCTCCTTTGCTATATTATGCTCATCACACGTTTAGGTGGATGGTCTGGCAGATAGCACTTGACCAAGGACTGTGTCGTACTGGTATCCTGTTGGACATGAGACATTCACAAGTTCAAATAGACCATGCTGTTCTGTTGCACATTGTAATTTTTCATGTAGCACTTGTTCTTGTGTTTCTTTTACCTACATGCCGTCAATGATCAATAACTCGTAATGTGATGACTACTGCCCTCTGCCCAACTGTTCAAACAAGTTGTTCCTTTTGTTTTGTTAAGTTACGACTGACGCTGTCATATTGATGTGAAGTACCTGTAGGCTACTTAATGCTTTGGCTCGCAAGGTACCGCAAATCTGACACATACATGTTTAGTCAATTACTCCATGTGACCATGAACTTAGATTTCATTATTGACTTCTTAAGTCACCTTGATATTTTTAATGTACTGCCCGATCTGGATGCTCATGCAAACTGTATCCACATGTTTAGTGTTCGGGCTCTGAAAACATATCAGCTTAGATCTCTTTATTATTTGATGTCATTTTTAAGCACTACTATCTCTGCAAATATGTATATTTTATACTACAAAATGAAACTTTTGCAGCCTTGAGTTGATGGTTATTTTATTTTTACTGTAACTTTAAGTGCAAAATGGCCTTTGCACCTGCAAAATTTTCATGATTTAAAGTGACTGCAATTTTGTCAAGAAGCTCAAAAGGTTGTATCTGGATACCCCCACCATAACACTTGAGTTGGGAATGGATGATTCAACATTGATCCCTATATCATCTGAAGTATTTTTATGCTGATCATGAAATTTATCTATCAAATGGTGAAGAGAGAGCCTCTTATATTATTATTTAAATTCTTCAACTCTATGGTTGCTCTTTGCCAACAATTTAGTAGATTTGTGTCCATATCTACTTCAAAGAGTAGTTGATTGGATTCCATTCAGCCTCTTTTTCATGCTTTCTCTACATATCTGTTTATGAATCTACATACTTCAAGACAAAGGATTATGCAATCATTTAAGAAAATCTTTGGAATTATTATTATTTTGTTGGTTTCTTCAAATTTTGAAACTTGCCTAAAGCTAGACTATTTGCTTCCCTACCATTTACTATTGTTGTAGTCAACTTGTCATGCTCAATGCCCATACGTAATCATAGAATTCACTAGAATAGAATCATTGTTCTATTTGGGTAACGAACAAGAAAAGGAAACAAAGAAGCTAATCTACAATTTCTTTTATACACTTTCAGGGTGGAGTACATGGGTCTACAGTTTCCCATCTCAGAGGTGTTGGCTAGAACTCTTGTCCATGGTACCAGCTTCATTATTACTTCCTGTTTTGTGCAGTCCACATGAACCCTTTTGTGAACCACTGCCACTCCTCTTCTCAGGTAAATAAGAGGAGCTAAAAGTGTACTTCCTTGAGCTGCAGATTACATCTCTTGCACACAACAACAATATCATCAGGCAGAGTTGAAGATATCTGGACTGCAACTTCCTCTCCCGTGACTGCAACAAAACTGCATCATTCATACTCCCCTGAGGAAGACGCAGAAACGTGGGTAGAAGAACCTGATTAGTTGTGCAGTGGATTTGGACCCTGAGGCACCAGTCTCTTGGAAACTCCATAAACCGAGCTGAACTCCTCCTCCTCCTCATCATCATGCTCTGCAGACGGAGATATCCTAGGGAAGTAACCCATGGATGATGGTGTGGAGTACTCATTCTTCCATCTCTCCGCCCCTCTCATGGCTGTTCTTGCATGGCCGAGACTGGTAAGCTGCCCAGCAACCAGCAGTAGCAGTAGAAACAAGATCATGTGTGGCAGAGGGAAGTTGTGCAACCTCATGGCCGCAGGATGGGGAAGAGACTTGGAGAGCAGAGCAGGTTGAAGAGGAGGGAGAGAGGGAAGCAGAGGGAGGTTGAATTATAGCCAAGCAGGAACATGGGCAGGTGGAGAAGTCTATTAATATGGGGCCAACTCCATTTGTGAGGAAAACGCTGTCAAAGCTCGGACCAATTGACCAAATCATCCTTGTGACCGTCTTCATCTGTGCATGGGATCACAAGATGTCAACATGGATATGAGGAGGCTACTTGTGGCATTCTCAGATGGATTTAAGGGTGTTGACTGTGTAAGAGGGGGTGGAGATGCTGTCTTCCATTTGGCATCATTTTGTCATGAAGTGATTACAATAGAGTTAAGCAGTACCAAATGATTGCCATTTCCATCCAATGTGCTTTGGATTTAGTATGAGCCTGCAAGTAAGTCTATCACTGTGTTTGCGTGTGTGATTTCTTTGACCTGGTTTCCAGTGAGAGAGAGAGAGAGAGAGAGAGAGAGAGAGAGAGATGGATCCCTGTGGCAATGTGACTTCTAAATGTGTTGCCGCAAATAATTGAAGTTGGGAGAGTGGACCAAAGCAAGAGGCCAACGTAAGCTCCTAATTATAATTAAGTGGCAGTACACTACAAACTGTACCTATGCAACCTAAAAAATGTGAATCAGGTTCATTATAATTGACTTCTTGTGTCCTCTCTCTCTCTCTCTCTCTCTCTCTCT